CTGGCGCTGCGTAACTGCCTGAATTTTCCCCAGTTGCGAAGTAGTCCAATATAGGCCTCTTAGGGTCTGTCGGGCCTGCCTTCACTTAGGGCGGCCGACGCTGTTGCAAATAAGGGCCGGTAGGCCCGGTAGGGCTTATCGAGGCCTTGTGCCTTGCAAAATTATTAAATAATTTAAATTCATAAAATTGTAAAGAATACATCATGTTTGTTACCAAACACTGCCAAATTTTGAAATCCCTCCACTTATTTCCACTTGTGTGTATCCAAGTCTCTTCAGGAGGACCTTCCACCACCCACATGAGAGAGAGAGAGAGAGAGAGAGAGAGAGAGAGAGAGAGAGAGAGAGAGAGAGAGAGAGAGAGAGAGAGAGGAGCCCTCCCTCTGTACTTCTATAGCTCATGATTGCAACATCATGTCCCAAGCACCTTTCCACGCTTTCCCCTATCCTCCTCTTTCTCAAGCCGCCCACCATTCTCTCCTCATCACCTCCATGACACAACTGATCGTTCACTTCTCTGGCCATGTTCCCATTCTGTTAGTCGACACCATCGTCACCGCGTAGGAGTAGAACTGCACGTTGAAGATACACCAGGTGATGTTTGAACGAACTGCTCATCGCCCAGCGTAGATAAGAGGGCAGACTGCCTGCGTCTTTGTGAATATATGCACACTAGATACGTGCTTCTCTGATAGGTGCCCAATTCCCCGATAAGAGGGTACTCGTAACTTCTGGATCAGAAGGGCCCAAAAAAAGCCCGGTCCTAGACCGCCCAGGTCTCAGGCCCAGTGGCCCAGTGCCAGCCGGAATCCAACGATTGGTGCAGGCGTTAGACTATGACTGCACCTCAGATCGAAAAACCCACAAGGTGCCATAATGTGCCCAAAAAGTGCCCGTATTTGCCAGCATTGTTTTCCGAAGGAAATTGAGACCGCCCGTTTTTCAACTGACTGACAGCAGACAAGGTGACATAATGTGCCCAAAACGAAAACCAGATGCATGAATGTATCTGACTGACAACCTTGCCAAAATCCGACATTTTATCTTTTCTTTTGCCAGAAACCAGAGTGCAGGAGATTACGAATCCGGGCCCCAACCAGAACCGGTCCAAAGAGCGGTGATTGCGCCCAAATTTTACAAGCACAATCATCTATTCGCTACGAGTCTTTTACTTTTCTGTTTTCTTTTTCAGAAGTTTTTCCCATACTCAGGCCTCGAACAACTGATCTGCTCAATGCTCCGAACCAACAACCAGACCAGAGTCGGAAACAACTTGGACCCGAGTCTACTCACAGGACCACCTCTCCTAGAAAATGGCGCACGCGATACCAATACCCACTGGTCCTAACTATCCTCCCACCTGAGGTGGGGTAGACCTGGCCGATCAAAGATCTCCAGGGACTACCCACCGCATTGGCAAATCTTGCCAAGGATCCAAGGATCTAAAGAAGAGGAAGAAGAAAAGAGCGCGCGCGCGCGCGCGCGCGCGCGCGCGAGAGAGAGAGAGAGAGAGAGAGAGAGAGAGAGAGAGAGAGAGAGAGAGAGAGAGAGAGAGAGAGAGAGAGAGAGAGGACGAAGGGACAAAGAAGAAGAAGAAGAAGAAGAAGAAGAAGAAGAAGAAGAAGAAGAAGAAGAAGAGAGCAGGAGGAAGGGGCATGCACACATACAGAAGTGGAGGAGATTCAGGAAGAAAGGAGAATGAAGAGAGAGAATAGGAAACGGAGAGAACACACAGAAGACAGATCTGAACCAAAATCTGTACGAGGAATGGCAGGAAGGAGCTAGCTGTGGCAGAAAAGTCCAGGGAAAATACCTAAGGGGGTAAAAACATTTGACCAATATGTACTGAGCATTGAGCAGGACAAAAGACAACGTAACGAGGGAAGAAAGTCGAGGAAAGACGCCAAGGAGGAGGAGGAGGAGGAGGAGGAGGAGGAGAAGGGGGGAAAGGAGGAGAAAGAGGGGGGGAGGATGAGGAGGAGGCAAATGAATGGCAGGAGCTCATGTAGAGGTAGGTGCAGAGCGTTGCAAAACACCATTACAGACTGCAGGGTGGTAGGGAACTTACCTGAGGAACAGTAACAGTCGGTCGAGGTTCACCTCGCTTCATCAGATTCCGTACAACATTCTCAGGACCTCCAATCTCTTCCACCCACTGCACTCACCAATGTGGAGAATGACACATAAGCAGGAGCGGCAAAGACGAGCGTCATGACGGTGATCTTAGTGTGACTCAAGTACAGCATTGTAGACCAGGACACAGTCTCTGAGGGAAGAGGGGCCATCATCACCAAACCTTGTGCAGTTTCCACAACTTTCCAGATTTCTGAATGTTTTTTTTTTTTTTTTTTTCCCCCTTCTGGATCAGTTCTTTTCATTGTGTATCTTCTTTTCGCTTTTTCTGAAGATAGCCTTATGCTTTCAGATGTTCTTCAATCGATACAATGTTCTGGGATGCTGGACCCGTTTTCCAGCAGGTGCTGCTCCCCACCAATAGATGGAGCCACCCGGGGAGTGCTAGTGGTGCCTGCTCTTATCAGCACCCCTAGCACCGGCCGGGGAAGTCTTGCTTACAAAAAAAAAAAAGGAAAAAAAAAGAAGAAGAAGAAGCCTTATGGCCATGGCTCCAGACTCCAGCTGCGTGAGAAAAATGCGTACGGTACAGATTGGAATATCACCTACCTTTGTGTTTAGGCGATCAACGTCTTAGTCTCCAGAAGCCCATCACCTCAGGATGCAGCAGATATCAGGTTTTAATACCGTTTTTAATAAATTAAATGCTTACACTACTGCGCGTCTGCTATTTTGTCCGGCCTTCCGTGAGCTGTTTCCCCTTTTTCTTTTATAAAGAGTAATATTTTTTTTGGGGGTGCTGTTTCCATTCCATGCCCAGTAAGCGGACCAAGTTCCACCCTGCTGCTCACTGATTGAATTTTTTTTGAAACTTCTGCGTGAAGCGTGCTTCCTTTTCCTCACTTTTGCTGTCTCAGCCTGAGCTGGGCTTCTCCTCCACCTCAACTCTTTTCTTTTTCCTGAGACACAAATTGAACATGGCTGCCATTGGCTGGATTAAATTAAATTTATTATTAAAAAAAAAAAAAAAACGGCTTGATGGCTATTGGTCCAACCTCTACGAACTTTGACCAACCGACTGCCTTTTTGGTTTTGACTACTTTTCCTAAAATTGTGGCTCGTTAACGGGCACAACTTTAGGAAGTACTGGTGGTTTGACATGTCCAACCAGACCCTTTCCAGACTTTACAACGGATTCCGAAGCAGAAGAGAGTGGGAGGGGAGAGGGAGAGAGAGAGCGGGGGGAGGAGGAAGCGAGGGAGGGGAGTGTTAATCATGAGTAGCTGGAGTGGGAGGAGAGAGGACAAGGGGAGTAAGTGTCATTCCGTCCTCTCCTGATTCCCATAACCAAGTAGCTGTTATAGTTTCGAATGAAAAAAACTGCAGTCGGCAGGGGACACTCGGCTTACCAAGACCCATTGGAAAAACAATCCGGTCAAGAGGTGGGAAAGAATTGACTCGGCACGGTGGCAGATAACCAGCTGAGTGTAGCTATCAATTTGCAGCCAGGAAAAAGACAACATTCTAACACAGGCAATTTAGAAAAGGTAAAAATAGGCACATTTAAAATGATTTAATCTGATTTAAATTTTAAAGTCTGAACTTTTCATTTTAAAGTTTAAACATACCTCCTTTTTTTGCCCCAGGGCCTACGCAGCAAAAAGGGTTAATTTTACTAAAATAGAGTCAGGACTCAGAAGAGCATTCAAGATATGAATCGGACTTGGAAGGGGAGAAAGAGGAGGGTGAGGAGTCCGATGATAAATCGAAGCCCCTAAGAAGGATAAAAGCAGACAACAACATTAATGAATCCTATGCCTTAAGCAGCATTGGCCGCAGGGGGGGGAGGTCCATGACGCGCGGCGTATCGGATTCGGGTCGAAGTTTTGGTGAGGGGCGGCAGATGAAGGCGATCGATGGCGGGGAAGTGTGCAGAGGAGTTCGCGTACTTAAACGAGAGAGCGCGCCCCGGGGGCGGGGCACACGGCTGGCGTTGATGCGGAGGAACATCTTGGAGGTGAGCGATCGGATATGTGGGCAGCTTTTTTGTTTTGTTTTTTTGGTTTTCCCGGTTGGCCATCGTTTTGTGTCCCCCTTCTCTTTTTTTCATTTCTCACGGCTGTCGTTTTGTGTCCCCCGCTTTTGTTTTGTTTTTTTCTTCTTTTCCTTCCTTCTTTTTTCATTTATCGCCCGGCTGTCGTTTTGTACCCCCCCGATAGGTCGTCGTTGTTTCTGCGGACGAACGTCTTGCAGGGGAGCCATCCAAAATGCAGTGTGAGGTCACCCACTGCATTTGTTATTTCCGCGGGCGTAGCCCACACCGCCTGCACCGCGGGCGCTTAGCTAGTTCAGTATTAATTTATTATCATTCACGTTTTGCGTGCGCATTCACATTTCGTGTACGAACAAAATCCAAAACAACTTGAAAGCACTCATGTGCAAACAATCATGAAATGTTGATAACCTGTTTTTTTTACTTTTTTTTTTTTTTTTAATAATGAACAACACATCGTGATGCTGGAGCTGTTGATAAGAGCAGACACCACTACCACTCCCGGGGAGGGATCCATGAAAACATTGAAGATGATTGAACAGTAAATTCAAATATTGCGATGAAAGTAACCACAAGGAATAATGATTACAGTGATAATTGCACATGATTGGAGACTTTGAGATCGAGTTGTAAGGGAGTGTGACAAGTCGACAATCCAAAAAGAAAAAGAAAAAAATAACATATTCTAACTGGTCACCAGTTAAGGATGAGTTGTGGTCCTGTTTCTCAAGATGGGCCATAAAATAATACTATACTAAAACACGGAGAGGACGGAACAAGCCTCACCTTCTTGATTTGATCATCATAGGTGCGGGAATGAAGAGCTCCATAGAAGTCCAAAGCTGGAAAAGACATTTCACAGCAGCCCCAGCCAATAACAACCAGCTCTCCAGTCAAGGTCCATTCAGAAACAAGGGTCTCTCTCTCTCTCTCTCTCTCTCTCTCTCTCTCTCTCTCTCTCTCTCTCTCTCTCTCTCTCTCTCTCTCTCTCTCTCT